AGGCAGCAAGTCTGTTCGCCATACAAATAAAAGCTTTGCACAAAATTGACCTCAAGAATTCAGAGAATTTTACTTTGCATTGGACAGTTTTACACTCCAACACTTAGACACTCAAAAGGAAGACCTGTTAAAACGTTTTACAAGAAAGCAACAGCAGGAGCGGACGGAATTTATCAACAGTTGATTTGCAAACTGGAAGAATCAGAAATATTTCAAAATTGTGTGCATTTTAATTTGGCACAGCTTTTTAATAATATCAGCTTAAAAATCTATATTGAAAGTATCAGTTTGTGTTTTATTGTTTACATAGAAATTAACTAATAATTCCATCACAAGCTTTTAACGGAGAATTTCTCATCCAAATAGTCTATTTGAAAATAATGCTGACAAAAGATAAATTCAGAAATCCATCGTACACTTTTCAGCATGAGACAAAATTTCAAGCAACAAGGGAACACCTTCACCGGGCAAGCGGAAACTTATCTCAATCAGAATAACTAGAAGACAAAGGGGATCAATTCTGGCATCCGCCAGAAAAAAAAATCCAAGCTTAAAAAGGAAATAGGAGATCAGTTTCAGGAAATTGGGAAGATCGAGGATTACATTATGCAATAATCTTCGATCAACACTAGGTAATCCAGAAGTTTAATTTCGAAAAAGATTACTGCAAAAGCTGCACATGGAAACATCAATTCAGGAAAGTATCTGGACTAATATATTAATATTCGAAATATACTCGTGTAATATTCGGAACAGTATTTTCGACGTGAGGATGAAGCAAACGTTTCCTCGTGACGGACTTAGACTCCGGGAGTTTTCATAATACTGTACTGTAGCAAATTTATGAGGCACGGATTTAAATTTATTTTCTCAAGTAAGATCCGAAAGGTCAAAGCAACAGCGAATCAACTACTGTAAACCCAAATACTGACGAACTTACCATCAGCAGCGATTATAACGTCACAGCTTTTAAAAGCTTCATTATCACGCCACGAGGCAATATCCATCCAATCAAGGGGACAAACTTCCACATGACAACCAGGTTTCGTAAAGAGTTCATTCCGCTTGAGATTCTCTCTACACAGATCCAGAATCTCTCCTCGATTGACGTCTTAAAAAATAAGATTTTAAAAGTGAATAATCGGCAAACCCGTAAAAATTTAAAAAAAAATTAGAAAATATACCTGTGCAAATAACGTTTGCACTCAAAAAGGAGGCCACAACGGAACTAATTCCAGTTCCTGCCCCCATTTCCAGGACGTTTTTCCCTGAAAATTCTTTCGGATTCGCAAGTATGTAATCGCACAACAGCAACGCACCTCTCCACACTTGTTCGCCGACCAACGACAAAGTTGTGGTTGTTCTATGTTCTAAAATGCAATAAAAAAGTGAATCCCTGTACCGCAAATTTCTCGTCGATTTGGAACTGGGTTTCCGATACATCTTAAATTGTTTCCCATTCCACGGAGCATTTTGAATTTAAACGAAAATTCGTTAGGCGGAAGTTAAGCAGAGACACATAATTTCAGAACATGTTTGTGGTGCAGACAAATAAAAGCGATACAAAAGTCAGGTGAAAAAAAGTAAAATTTAAAATTCATGTAAAAAATTCCACGATCTTTTCATGGTTAAAAGGGTTTTTCACGTTAATGAAGAGAAAAGATTACTCCAAATATAAAATCTAAAAAACGTGGTTCCAGACAGCTCAATTATGAACAACAACCATCCATACTCTCGAGGTTCAAAAACCTCCGTAATTTCCAATCATCGTGAATACATCAAGAGAGAAAGGAGTAGAAGCAAAGACAGCGAATTGCCGTAAAACAATTTCAGGAACGTAAATATTACATACCGATTTTCAAGGTGAAAGTTTGGGGATGTTTGCGATCAATTATTGGATCACCGTCCTCATCAATGCCTCGCTGTGGACCTTCTTTCAGCCGTAGAACATGATTCTCATCGAATCCACGCGGGAATTCGAATGAAAATGTAGATTTAACCAATCCATCTGCTTTACCTATGCACCAGAAAAAAACAGCTGAATTTGGCCGAGAAAATATTTTTTCCGACGACTTGGAAGGTGAATACTTCCGGCACTCACCTACCGTCGTCTCCGACTCGCAAACCAGTTCCGAAGTAACACAACATTCGTCTTCCACACCCATTAAGAATCAATAACAAAATATTCACAGCTTCTCGTTCCTGAAGAAAGGAATCAACACAATGTTTAAGCATACTCACCACCATTACCAATTCAAAAGTAAATCAAATGAACATGCGGCGAAAATCCCGAACCCCAAACCCAACACCGCCACCCAAAAATCGTTCAACATCTGGTTTATTATTCCAAAAATTTCCTGAGTAAAACAAGCAACCTAAGCCAGGGGAAGAAGAAACCAACCATTAAAACACGTAACTGCCCACACTGATATGATCCTTCACACCGACGTCCCCTTCACCGAAAAAAATCTCTGACTATGATATGAAGTCCGATTAAAAATGCCTCCGAGTAACATGTGTAAATTGCACCGTGCGACGTAAAAACACTAATACGGTGTCAATGCCGAGGAAAAAAAAAGACTCCAGGAGTCCCGCACTATAACGATACACTGGCAGTGGCATAGCTCCAACAATCCTCAACCGCTAAGCAATAAAAGAACATGTGCAAACGTGAACATCCAACACACAACAATCCATCAGGGGGGGGGGGGCATCTTTCTGGCACACATCTCCTTTATGAAATCATGAAAACGAAGTGTCTTCCTTCTAGAGATTCAACCGTATTTCTTTTTATAAACTATACAGAATCGATAACCATTGAAATCTTGAAACTTGGGAACGAATATTCATGACATACAGTACTTCACCAAAATGGGTATCTTCTGTTGAAATCACTAACAAGGTCGTCAACTATCCGTACTATCAAACCGATTTAACCTCTGAACAACCACGCGCGCAATTGAATTTCATCTCCCGAATCTACAAAGAAACACATAACGAAATTTCAGGGCATCACAGACAGGGCTTCGAATCACGAACCAAGAAAAATCGATACCGGGGGTTTCAGACATAACTGGCCGAGACTATTGCGCCGCTATCCCCACAAATGTAACTAGATTTAAGGAACACAAGAAACACATCTCATAGTTATCACATCTTGATTTGAAGAACGATTACTGATTTTCCGCGAGTCTAACTTACAGTCCAGCTTATTCTTCTTGCGCAACAATAAGATCTCTTTGGATAATTCGGTCAACAAGTTTGAACGCAGGTGCAGTAACGGAATCGAAACAAAATCAACGGCTGACTATTATACACTTGAACCACAGAAAAAACGTAACCAATGTGCCCAGTTATCACAAACGCATAGGAGATCACGGAGCAATTCCTCCGTGAGCAATCGCCAAAATTTGCAAGAAAAACAATTAGACTAAAAGCGCGTGCGAGATTCTACGATCAGCCTCCTAGGTAAGGCGAACATAATCCCGTCATCACTTCCCAATGATCACGTCAAATGGTTAGTTAAAACATGCAAGACACCGAGGTTGGCTAAACGCAAGAGGCATGCTACTACGCTTTGGCAACACTTGAACATTTTGACTCGTTTCCAGGTATTCACGTAATCCAATCGACTAAATTGGGCTTCACCGGACGCGAGCTTGTCCCGAATTGAGCAGCTTCGCTGACGGTTCAAATTCCGAGGTCAAAGCCCGGGGCGGAGCTTTCTGGGACGACCTCTCTTACGCTTCACCGTAGGCTGAGTGAATGAGTCTCCTCCAATTCTGAGGTAATCAAGGAGACGATTGGTTTTTTACTAATCTTACATATACACATTCCTTATTCCAGACAATTTCAATTTAAACGTTCAAAGTAGCCTTTTGCCACAGAGGCGTCGCATGGACATGAACATAATCTACTTGACCCAACTCAAGTCATCTTAATTAGACACTGTAAAAAGGATACAGGCGGAGCCTAGATGATTAAAATGTAAATCAACATGCCAGAGACTCAAGACGAAGAACTTTATGAAAGAGCCCCAACAAACAACTGCGAATACATTATGTGGGTTTCCTGTTATAGTTTGGAATAGGTAAAAAAAAACGGACACTGGATGTTGTAGGGTGTATGCCATCTTCAACAAATAGAAACAAAAATTTTAAAATTGGCATTTAAAACGGGAAAGGGTCGAATAAACGATTCAAATTAATTCGCATGATACTCACATTGGAATGTCCCCGTCGACAGCTTTGAACGCATCTAATTCTTCAATCGCCCGCAGATCTACGCCAAGAGCTCGTAGTCGTAACACACCGTTCTCCTTTTCAACTAAAAATTTCACTGGACTCGGAAAACGAGCGCAGGCCAAAGAACGACTAAGTATTATTTCTGTCACTTCCTCATCTTCATCGTAATTCTTGAGCTGGGATTTCTTCCCACTGCGAAGAAGGAAAACACATCCCCGAAACACAATCAGAAATGAACCGGAACACGGAAATCACTGAAGATCAGTAGAAAAGGACATAAGCGATAACTCACAAATTATTGTCGAACTTGGGCGGAATCTTGCTTCCCTTGATGATGCTTTCACGTATGATGTCAAGCTCGTCAGCATTGCTGGTCCCATTCTCTAATTGCAAATTCCTTCCTGAGCGCAATTTTTTGCCGGCGAAAGCATATGGTAACCTGACGGTACCGTCAATTGCCAAACGCCGAACAGCCAATGCCGCTCCCCGACGTTTTGCTTTCTNAGTAAGGGATTCCTTACGGTCCCCTTAGTAACGACATCTAACCGTAATTACCTCAATTGAAACCTCAGTATCAGGTCTCCCACCCGGACATCAACCGGAACCAAGATCACTATCAAGATCGGAGGAGATGAGGTCGAGATCCAGTGTCCAGTGCTTCACTTCGCTTATGACTTTTGACGAAGATAGTTCTTTTATATTGTGACTGTTTTTATGTGATTGTGGTTGCTGTCGTATTGGCTGTGTGGACTTCGAAAATATAGTCTACGTGTGACGCTGGCCGAGGACTCTTATATTAAACCTTACTGGGGGTTCGTCCGGCTACAGCTTGATTGCGCCAACGTCACTAAAGTCATGACGCGCACCACGGAGAACTCAAAGGCCGCGGCGCTTCCGTACGTGCCTACTCCTGCAGTTCAGACTCCGCCAGCGGAATCTCCCGCCGGGTCTTCACCAGCTCAGGAGTCACCGGCCAGCAATTCATCGCGGAGCTTACCTCCACTGGACTCCAGCCCGGCAACGACACCCGGCAACCAGTGGGACGCTATCCCGCTTCCTACGCTACAGTACCTGGTCGAGGCGTATCGTCTTGGCTCACCAGCTGGAAATCACCGATCCGCCTTCGTCGCTCTCTTGGAGACCAACCGCATCCCGCCGTCGATCGCCGCGGGCTGGATACCACCCCCTGGATGGCATCTTCGTCCGCTGGATCTACAAATCACGTCGTGGACCCCACCCGGTCACCAGGAGATCATCGTTGCAAGCCCACCTCCAGCAACACCCGTGAGTCAACCCCCGCCCTACCAGTACCCACGCGAACCACAGCTTTCAGATCTACCTCGACAACGCGACGCGGAGACCTTCGAGGACTACGCGGATCAGCTTCGCCGCATGCCGGCGATCAACAACGTCTCGGCTGATACAAAGGTGTGGTGTCTTCTAAACAAAACCCTTCCGCTAGTCCGCGAAACAGCTTCGATCCTATACGGGCGCGGTATCGTCGAGTTCGAAGACCTCGTTGCAGCCATCGCCGTGTCTCATCCTACGCCTCACCTGGATCGCTTGGACCGGTTCCGACTGCTGCGTCCGCAGAACGGAGAGAGCTACGTGAGCTTCGCAAGCAGGTTAGAACATTCCTTCGACTCGTTCATTGCGCCACCCCAGCAACCAGTTTCGGCGGAGACAATTCGCCAGAAGATGCTCATCGAGCAACTCGTTCTTGCCGCGCCATCCGGTCTGCAAGACGAGTTACGGAGAAAGTGGATTGACGACAGAAACTGGACCTGGGCGCAGGCTATCGCAGAAGCCGAGCGATATCGCCTCCATCATCACGCCACGTCGCGCACAGGAACCGGATCAAAGCAAGCCTCCAAGGCTTCCAGCAATCCCCGACCCCAGCGACAGTGGTGCGAAGGGCATCACGCCTACGTCAGGCATTCTCCGCAAGACTGTCGCATCCTGATCCGGCAGCAGGGACGCGCAGCTCCGCCGCAACCCGAAAACCCTGCTCCTACTTCAGTGCCACGACCCGCAGACTCAAATACGAGCCAAAAACCTAATGTATCCTATTGTTTTCATTGTCATGCCCCCGGGCATATCGGACGTAATTGCCCATTATTGTTACAGGGAAACGGGCGTCCGGCACAGTGAATGCGGCTCACTGTGTAGACACGGATCTCGCCGCACCTCCACCGATCATCCTCCCCTTGCAAATTGGAGATTCATTCTTCCCAGCACTTGTGGATACTGGGGCATCTCATGCCTTTGTGTCCCAACGGTTAGTTAACTCTCTTAACTTAATCCCTACCCCTTGCTCAGTCCATGTCCTTACAGCGTTAACACCCGACACCGCTTCTGTGGCTCAGCAAGTGACCTTAGATTTTTTCTTTCGCGGTCTNGCAGCCGCGGCCTCTTCAATGGTGGAGGTCCTGGGTGCTCCTTCTGGTTGTGTTCCGGCGTACCACGCTGGCACAACGTCCATGGCTGGCCCCCACACAAATTTGATGCTTGGCGTTGTGGCCATGCCCGCCATCCAGAGCACTCCTGTGTCAAGAACCCACTGCATGAAGCGCAGGACACTATGGCTAGCGCTGGGAGGCAACTCACCTTCCTGTCGCACAATGACATCCTCTGCTGCCAGGAAAACCTGGCCTCTGACAGGGAACGCCTGCCCCAAGCTTTGTAAGGCAACCTGCGTTGCGACCCGGAACTGGGCGGTGACCCGCTGTGTCAATTCCTGCTCTCGTGAGGTGTTCTTGGTTTTGGCCAAGCGCAGACGATGAAAAAATGACTCGGCCACCTGCACTGCCATTGTCATCCCTTGGACAAATGCCTGCATGGAGCTCCGCTGCTCATGCGCCGCCTCTGCGGCTGCGGTCTCCTGTCTGAGCTGATCTTTGAGGTGCCTCCAATGGGAGGTTGCTGCATTGACAGATGCCGCCATTGGCATCAGAGCCACCAGGTGTTGCCAACTGTCTTTTGTTAGACCTGCCAGCACAGCAGCGTTTGCCTCCACCACCGCAGGCAGACATACACACAGCGGCGCAGATGCCCCAGCCTCCTGCGAGTTGTCCGCCGCATCAGCTGCTGCCCCAGTTGGCGCAGCTTCCACCTCAGCGGCTTTGGCAATCACCAGCTCGGGTGGCATCTTGTCTGCTTCTTCTGCAACAGGCAAGGCACAAACAATCAAGGACCAATTCACAGAAACTCAGGCAGAGCTACTTACCAGAAACAATGGGGTCACATACGTCTTCCTCTGATGCTCGGCGCTTTGGCGTCAAGGGGGGATCCCTGCTATCCTCTTGTTTGCAGCCTCCGTCCATGTTCTTTGCCTTCCAAGTCCATGATCCTTTCTGTTTCTTTGCTTTATGGCAATGGCGTCTGATGAGCACTGCTGAGATCCTTGCAAGTTGACGCAATTGATTGATTTCTTTCTACGTAGGTTTTCTTGCGTCTGGCTTTTGCAATCTTGCAATTTTGTTCTGTTGTACAGTACGCAAGTCTCTTGGAAGATCTGAAAACAACAAGAAAGGACCATGGCTCAGTACTCCGCCTCCGGCAAGCAAAGAAGAACACCGTGACTGCCTAGTGCGGGTGCAACAAATGCTACAATTCCTACCTCCGCAGGGCCGGCCTTTCCTGACGGAACTGTAAGACCTCCCTCCGGCAGCAGCACCAGTGAAAACTGTATCCCTTGGGCTCGTGGAGCGTTCAAGGATGCGCATGCATGTCTGGGTGCCGGCCTCAGCCAAGACGGCTGTCCTTGCATTTGTAGTAATTGTGACGGACACCCTGAAGGCTGCCCTGTCAGCGATTGATGGTAAGACCAATGGCCCGTCTCTTGTTACTCTTTTCAGGGGGCCCCCCAACGAACCACATGCGCAGCAGGACCTGACCAACCAGGGATGCAGATGCCATGCAGTAACGCTGCACAAAGCGCAACGCACAAAAAGAAGCAATCTTTTGCAGCGCCAGACCTCAACACTGGTCCTTTGCCTTCTTGTTAAAACACTTTTGACACTTGACAGTACAAAAAATTCTAACAGAGTCCTACAACACTTTTTTTTTGGATGAATTTGGGACTTCCGCCCCTGGCCGGATCCCTGACATGAGTGACGCAGCTCTCTTCTTTGTTCTCCAGGACCCCCTGGTGCGCCTGCACGCCACCATCTTTGGACCCAGACTGGTCAAGGACGCTCCGCGTCCCCTGGTGCCACCGCACCTGCACCTCCCAGCCCCTGGCCACCAGCAACCTCTACGCAACCCCGTTTTGGGGTCCTTTGGCCGTCTCCAGCCTCCTGGCCATTGTCGCCCAAAGGGGGGGGGTTTGTGGGGTTGTGTCCACACAGCGTGACCCGAGCGCAGCATCCTTGCTTGGGCACGTTGCGCAGCAACAGCAGCGCAGGGGCCAGGAAGCGGATAGGCACCCGATTTGCCGCATTGCGGGAAACCAGGTCAGTAGCTAACTGATAACGGATCTCTGGCAGCGGAAGCTGGGACAAAGTCTCAAAGACTTCGGGAAGCATTCATTCAGACATTGGGATTGCCTTACGGCGGTGGTGCAGTGCAATTATTCCTATTGCGATTCTCTGTTGTGTACCTGAGGTACTTCTTGTCCTTCTGTGGTTACCCTGTGACTGTATTAAAGTGTGCTGCTTTTAAGGGACTCTGTTAAAGAGGATCCGGCCATTAAAGGCTGACTGCTGTGTCCATTCTCTTCTTTCTACTCTTTGTCGTTTAATTGGCCCGAAAAAATTGGTGGCCAGTGGGTTTACCTCTACAAGGTCAAACCCCGGCATCTTTGAAATTTTGGGCACAGTTCCTTTTTTCTGAGGTGTGGAATTTTCAAGGGTGTGAAATTGCAGCCTTGCTGCCCTTATTTTTACACCCAACCCGCCTCACCCTGTGGAAAAGACTGTAAGTACTCCCCTGCATTTCTTGTGTGAATTCTCTCCAGCACAATGAACAGTGAGGACGGCGCAGTCCCAGGCACGCCTCCAATCTTGAGCCGTATGCGCGGTACATGCCAGCCTCTGCAAAGGCGTGGACCCCTACCAGCAGGGCCACGGCATTGTGTTTCCCCGAGTCCATCCAGCACTGGTAGCCACGACAGCGCGCAGTCCCAGTCCTAGCATTGAATGCAACGGGCGCCTCTTTCAGGCATCAAGCCACGCTCTCAGTGTCCAGCATCTCGCGGCACTGCCTCAACTGCGGCCTCAAGTGGCCATTCCTCAGCATTGACAGCATGCCGCCCCTCCATTATTAAACATGTCCTCCACCTTGCCAATGTGGTGGGCGCAGTCAACCATATTTTACAGACTCCAGAATGGGGAGATCCGCAACAACGTTTTGAGAGCGTTGTTCTGCGATTTTTCAATGCAGCCATGCATCTTATTGATCTGTCACCTGCGGCATTCTTGCAGCCCAAAATTTCTGCCCTCACGCAATTGGCAACCAAGGTCAACACTCTTCTTGTGCAGTCCATGGATGTCATGACCAGGTGGTGGCCTCATCTTTGCCCAATGCAGCCACTCGTCCAGG